TAGCAAATTCGAATGGATTCACTTGGACCGTTCCCACCATTGACGCAAGGAAACCTATGAATTACCGTCGCGACCGATTATCTCACACGTTATGCCGAGACGAAAGCCCTTCCATCAGATATGATGGTGTGAGACTTTGGGAATAAGAAAAATGTTTAATGAATGAAAATAAAGTAAATAATGAAGGGATGGCTGAGTGAAGGCTGATGGCTCGTCATGGCTGGCTGGCGTTCTTCTACTTCTTCTACTTCTTTTCCTGTCTCTGAGGCCATATGAGGCACGTTCGGAGCTGTGAGCAGGCACGCTGCTCACATCCGACCTCCTTTTTTTTTCTTTTTTTGAGGGTTAACAAAGTTCTTTTTGTAAATAATTTTAACGCTGGGACTAGGCTTGGCATAGGAAGACGGAGTTTGGCACGTGGAGCGGAGTCCGAGACGACGAAAGTTTTGAGGGTGCTGAGTCCGAGAGAACGGCCGGGGTCCGGCCGGGTCTCTGATGAGTCCGTCTCGGGCTCTGTTGATGCGTTGAAATCGTTACGGGGACAAATCGTAGTCCTGTAGCTGTTTCGGTTGTGTCCGATGGCGCTGTGGTCTCTGGTCTGTTGGGTGGGCAGTGGAGCTTTCGTTCCGGTTCAGTGAGAGCACGGCTTGCATACTTAATGACAATCTCTTTGCCAATCTGCCTCTGAGAGAGGACAGCACCATGGGCTGTGGCTGCGCCGTCTGTAGCAACAGGTGTTGGCGCAACAGCATCGAACTGTCCAAGGATTGGCGCCGAGGTGAGGGCTGCACGAAGGGTCTCAAATGCTTGTTGACACTCCAGTGTCCAGTTGAACTCAGGTCTTCGAATAACAGCTTGCAGGGGGGCAGCAATCTTCGAATATTTTCTACCGAATCTCCTGTAAAAGTTGGCTGTCAGAACCCAGGAGAGCAGTTGCTTTGAGGTCAAAGGTGTAGGAATGCGTAGCATGGCTCCAACTTTGGAGGCGTCCGGCTCTTTTCCTTTGTCGAAAATCAGGAAGCCAAGAAACTTAACAAAGGGCACGGCAAACTTGCATTTCGATAACGAAATCTTGAAGCCGGCGAGTTGGAGAAGGCTCATGGTGTCATCCAGACGGTCCAAGAATTCCAAGAATTCAACGGCAAACACAATAATGTCGTCCAGGTACTTCCTGACTTCTGACTTGGTCTGTCTAGGTTTCAGACTTGTAAAAACTTTATTCATTGCCTGTTGGAATGTTGCTGGTGCGTTTTTCAATCCAAAGGGCATTCGGGTCCATTGGAAGGTACCATAATGCGTAATGAACGTACTCTTGTCTTGGTCGGACTCCCTGACACGAATTTGCCAGTAGGCGGAGCACAAGTACAGGACCACGAACAAAGAGCATCCCGCAAGATCGTCTAGGATGTCGTCGGCCTGGGGAAGCGGTTGCAGGACGTTGATCGTCATCTTGTTTAATGAGATGTAGTTGACACACAGTCTCTTCTTATTTTTCTGTGTGACCACAATGGCTGGAAATCCCTATGGTCCCGAGGATGGCTTGACGATACCCTTGTCGAGAAGCGTGGCGACCTGGGTCTCGAGGAATTGTCTATCCGTTGCCGTGTAGCGATATGGCTGTCGTCCTTATGGTTTTGCCTCCGGTACAAGGTCAATTTGATGTTCAATGCCTTCATAGAGGCCAAGGTCGAGAGGGTCACGCGGGAAGAGGTCAGTGTGAATGAGCAAGATTTGTTTCACATCGTGTTGTTGTTTAGTCGTGAGCTGGGAGCCGATGCAAACGCCATCAAGAGCAGTTTCACTTGATACGGATGCGCATAAATGTGAGCCATATGTGAGACTTTGATTTGGTGATGCGGTTGCCGCTAGTTGTGGCGGAGCAGAGGTTGGGGGCTCATGACAACAGGCTGCGTTGTTCAGCTCACTCCATAGTGGTGCATCCTCGTCGGGCTCATGTTTGGTCTGCAGAGGCTCGGCCGTAGCATGCGGAGAATCAAACTGCGAGAGAGCCGACCGTGTGAAGATCACGGCGTTGGACATCCTTGGTAAAAGTTCTTCTCTACATTGTACAACCGTGTTTCTGTTGGGTTGGCAGATGATAGGCAGCTCTGGGGGCCTAATGTGAAGCTCGGCTTGTGCGATGCGAAACCAGTCTTCTCCCAATATGAGAGGTAAGGCGTTTCTTTCGAGGACTGCTGCTTCGACTGTGGCTGATATTGGTCCAATTGCAATCAGGAGTGGGACCACACCTTTTGGAGTGACGGAAGCGCCGCCAACGACGAGCAATGGTGGTTTCGTCCATGGCAGTAGGGCGAGTTCGTTGACAAGGCTTGCAGTGATGACTTATGCTGGAACCACTGTCAGGAAAGGCGCTTACTGTGCCAACTCCGGTTATGTGAGCTGGAACGACTGGGCACTTCAGCTTAGAACCATGCAAGACGTCTAGCTGGCTAACTAGAGCTGCAGGTTCATGTGGTGCTTTCGGCTTGGACTGATTTGGAGGCTGTTTTGGCTTGTTACACTTGCTTGCGAGATGGCCAGGCTTTTTGCAATTGTAGCAGATGGCTTCTTTGATGTCTTGTCCCGGTCGGTATGCTGGGGAACCACATTTTGTGGAAATTGCATTGTACCTGGCTTCCTGTTCGTCGGGAGGCATATCTGCGATGCGCGTGCGGCTAGTTTGTGATGTACCGGGCGTACAATTGAAGTGTGTGGTTGAGCCGCTCACTGAGAAGCCTCCATCCCGGGCTGGCTTTGGGAATGTAGGCGTGCGGGCCAGGCGGGAATGGTCTATCGTTCGGTCCACTTCGGACACGATGTTGAGGAAGTCGTCCACTGCTCGGGGTCGGTGGACAGCAATGGATGTGGCGATCTGATCATCATGAATGACTTGAACAAGGTATTCAATACGTTCCTTGTCAGTGATGGGGACTGTACATCGCGACATGATCTTGAGCTTGGCGAAGGCATACTGCTGTAGGCTATCGCCAGGTTTCTGGGTGAGGGCTGTTACCTTCTGTTGCCACTGAATGAGCGAAAGTTGCTCGCCGAATTGTTCTTTCAGTCCGGCTTTCCAAATGGTCCAGGTGGTAAGTTGTCGCCCTGTTGACGCATGCCAGTCAGCTGCGACACCACGTAGCTTCCCTTGAGCGATGGCTAAAAGAGTGGGGTCTTCCCATCTTGCAAGGCGCTGAGTGCGTTCAAGCTCTTCAATCCAGTGCTTCAATGTAGGAGTGCCGCTTCCGTTGAAAGTGGATAGCGAAGCTGATAGATCTGGCAGAGTTGTCACGTGCACTTGGTTCGCTTGATTGGCTAGCGTCGTCATCATTACGGCCATGTTCTGGTGAAGGAATGCGGCCATGCGCTGCATGTTCTCAGCTTCGTCTGTGGTAAACGCTGGCATAGTCGGGAATAGCGTTGCAGGAGCTAGTGCATTTGGCGGGTTTTGGGCGGCATCAGTCAAAAGCCTGTCAATAAGCTCTTCCTTGTTTCCGATTGTGCTAAGGTTTCGGCGTTGAAGTTCTATTTTGAGGAACTGAACGCTCAGGGTCGCGAGATCTTCGGATGTAGCGTTATCCCAGTTGATAAGCGACATCGTTGTTCTGGGCGGGCGATGGGCAAAGTGGAGGCTGTAGGCTTAAAAATGGCTTCGCGTTCGGCTACGCGTATGAAAGCGGGCAGGCAGGCTTACGTGGCGATTAGGTGGCGAAGGCAGGTTGAGGGCGTCGACTGCGCCATATGTGAGACTTTGGGAATAAGAAAAATGTTTAATGAATGAAAATAAAGTAAATAATGGAGGGATGGCTGAGTGAAGGCTGATGGCTCGTCATGGCTGGCTGGCGTTCTTCTACTTCTACTTCTTTTCCTGTCTTTGAAGCCATATGAGGCACGTTCGGCGCTGTGAGCAGGCACGCTGCTCACAATGGCCAACCGCCAAGGTCGCCAATTTTTTTATCGGGTCCATTGTCCTCCGGCACGGCGCCCCCGAAGTCTTCCTTACAGACTGTGGGTCATCGTTCACGGCCCAGCTGAGGCAAGAAAGCATTCATCTCAGTAGCACCAGCCACTGTCGAAACACTGCGTACCATCCGCAGACAAATGGACTGACAGAGAAGCTAAACAAAACTATCGCTGACATTATATTTATGTACGTCAACGTAGAGCACAAGACGTTGGACGGAGTGTTGCCGCACGGGACCTTTGCTTATAACACGACAGCCCAAGAAAACATCGGAGTCACCCAATTCAAGATGGTGCACGGTAGAAAGGTCACAACAATGCTCGACGTAATGCTTCCTCACGACCCAGCAGACGACGGAACCAACGACGCCAAGTTGATAACTCAACGAGCAGAGGAGGCTCAGCAGCTTGCCATACTCAGACTTCAGGACCAACAACGTGTTGACCTCCGTCGGTACAACCTTTGTCGCCGCGACGTCCAGTTCCAACCGGAGACAGCGTATGGGTGTGGATACCGATTCGGCCGCCGCGGTCTCAGACTCCTGAAATGGTACTTCGAACCCTACAGGGTACATCGCCGACTGAGAGATCTTACCTACGAAATGATTCACGACGGATCAAGAACATCATCACGCCGCCCATCAATACATGAAGTAGTCCACGTCGTGCGCCTCAGCCGTACTCCGCTCGATAAGACTGTTAACTGTGATCCCATACTACGCTCGATAGAACCGTGTGCCACAAGCCTCCGTGGTGTCCCCTCCAATTGTTTGCTTTGCTCTGTTTTGTTTTTTGTGCATCAAGCCAATGCTCTTTCTAAAAGGGGGAGTA